CCAAAGGTAGATGTTGGGTTGGCGTATTTCGAGATTAGGATTTGTCACTCCGATTGTCGTAGAGGTATCTCTGGGCCCTCTCGGTAATGCACATCACATAAGCCTTGCAAGCATTGTAACTAAGATGTTAGTTGTGAGATGATGTATTACGGAACGAGTAAAGAGACTTGCCGGTAACGAGATTGAACTAGGTATTGGATACCGACGATCGAATCTCGGGCAAGTAACATACCGATGACAAAGGGAACAACGTATGTTGTTATGCGGTCTGACCGATAAAGATCTTCGTAGAATATGTAGGAGCCAATATGGGCATCCAGGTCCCGCTATTGGTTATTGACCGGAGACGTGTCTCGGTCATGTCTACATTGTTCTCGAACCGTAGGGTCCGCACGCTTAACGTTACGATGACAGTTATTATGAGTTTATGCATTTTGATATACCGAAGGTTGTTCAGAGTCCCGGATGTGATCACGGACATGACGAGGAGTCTCGAAATGGTCGAGACATAAAGATTGATATATTGGAAGCCTATATTTGGATATCGGAAGTGTTCCGGGTGAAATCGGGATTTTACCGGAGTACCGGGAGGTTACCGGAACCCCCCGGGAGCTAAATGGGCCTTAGTGGGCTTTAGTGGAAAGGAGAAGGGGGCAGCCCAAGGTGGGCTGCGCACCTCCCCCCTCCCCTAGTCCTATTAGGACTAGGAGAGGTGGCCGGCCCCCCTCTCTCTCTTTCCCCCTCGGGGAATCCTAGTCCAACTAGGATTGGGGGGGAGTCCTACTCCCGGTAGGAGTAGGACTCCTCCTGCGCCTCCATAGGGCTGGCCGCACCCCTCCCCCTTGGCTCCTTTATATTCGGAGGCAGGGGGCACCTCTAGACACACAAGTTGATCCTTGAGATCGTTCCTTAGCCGTGTGCGGTGCCCCCTGCCACCATATTCCACCTCGATCATATTGTAGCGGTGCTTAGGCGAAGCCCTGCGACGATAGAACATCAAGATCGTCACCACGCCGTCATGCTGACGGAACTCTTCCCCGATGCTTTGCTGGATCGGAGCCCGGGGATCGTCATCGAGCTGTACGTGTGCTAAGACCTCGGAGGTGCCGGAGTAACGGTGCTTGGATCGGTTGGATCGGGAAGACGTACGACTACTTCCTCTATGTTGTGTGATCGCTTCCGCAGTCAGTCTGCGTGGGTACGTAGACAACACTCTCCCCTCTCGTTGCTGTGCATCACCATGATCTTGCGTGTGCGTAGGAAATTTTTTGAAATTACTGCGTTCCCCAACAATAAGATGGTTGAAAAACAAGCCAAGAGAGTCAAGGGCTACCTCCGACTCTGAGGTGTCATCCATCTTAAGAAGATCAGAGGTGCTTGATTTCTTCCTAGGTTTCTTGTTGGTCTTTCTGGCGGCTTTCGCGGCAGCCCTAGCCTTTTTGGCGGCTTCGTGGTCATATTTTGCCTTCCAGAAATCGGATTTAGCCTGCGGAAGAGTAACATACTTGAGTTCACATAATATTTGGATAATGAGATAAAGTAAGTGAAATCAAGAGACTTACATATGGCAGCGGGTTAAGCTTGCAAAAAGGGTTCAGACCCACTTTGCTGCAGTCTTCGAATTTTCCATTTACAAGTGTTGTTGTCATTTCAATAATGCCCTCTTTAGTCAGACGCAGAGAGCTATGGCGTAATGGATTGTCTTTTTCTCCGGTATAAGTACACGTCAAGCCAGATCGGCGGCTTAAGGGTATGATCCGCCACGAGACCCAGCATCGGACCAAATCCACTCCGGTTAAACCGTTTCCTAGAAGAGCTTGGACCTTTTTGATAGTAGGGGCGAGTTTCTTACGTTCGGCGGCGGTTAGTTTTTCAGGGAGTTGATGTTTTGGGTCAAGACGTTCAGCACAATCACCCACCCGGCAATGGATTTTCATCAGCCGGCGAGATATCTTTACAATAGAACCATGTATGATTCCAGTCCTTGGGGTGGCTCGGTAGAGCTGCTTGAGGGAAGATGGCGTCTCTTCTGCGTTAAATTGAGATTCCACCAAGTTCCAAGCTGGGCCCATTTGTGAACTCATTTTGGTGGTTCAGATAGAAGAATTCCCTGAAAAGCTCGACACTAGGCTCTTCTTGAAGGTACACTTCACAGAAAACTTGAAAGTTACAGATGTTTAACACGGAGTTGGGTCCAATGTCTTGAGGATGGAGTTTGAAGAAGTGCAGAACATCTCGAAAAAACTTAGCCGGACGATGAGAAGCCCCGGTTCATATGATCAGTGAATACAATGACTTCACCATCGTTTGGCAGAGGTCTCTCTTCGCCCGGGTCAGGAGCGCGGTAATGCATGACACTCTTCTCTGGCAAATATCCAACTTTCACAAAATCTTTCAAAGTACCCTCAGTGATGATGGAGGGAACCCAGTTACATGTAGTAACTGTCTTTGGTGGCATTGTGAAAGAAGGACAACCTAAAGGAAGGGAATAATTTGCCAACTCAAGTTAGTTGGTGAAATCACAAGTTAACGGTTGCAGTGTACATTCAGAATGGCGGCTTAAGCGAGGGCTAATGATATATGAAGTAGCGATAAGCCGGTAAAGTAAGCCACCCATATTCAAGATCTAACAAGAGCAAAATTGGCTAAGTGTTGGGACAAACAGGTTCCACAAGTTAAAGCTATAAATTCAGATCTGCAACTGTTCAGAAAAAGGAAATAAATTCTAAACCTACAGAGGCGGCAGCAGAAAAGTGGAGGTGCCCCAGAGGAGATCTGTCGTGATGAGGATATGTTCTAATATCAAAAGCGGGTGCTAAAGCTGCTACCGCACAGGACCTACATTATTTTCAGATTAAACTATGCAATCTGGAAAGGAGAAAGGGAAGAAACGGTGATGAACACCGACGAACACCGAAACCCTAAGAACATATCCATGAAGAGGAAAAGGGAGGGCTTACTGGTGCTAGTTGACAGCGGAGGAGTGCCGCGGCGTTTCTAGTCCGTTCAGGGCGATGCAGCGGCCGGAGTTGACGAAGGGGACGAAGGTCGACAGTGGCGGAGCTCGTGCGGGCTGGTGCGTCACGAGGAGGAAGAAGATGAGAAGGAGAAGAGAGGAGAATGAGAAAGGGGCGGTTTGACCCTATTTATAAGGAAAAGAGTAATAGGCAGGCACGAAAAACGAGGAGGCCAAATGATGATTATCCAACTAATTGAATGCCTCGATTTTCGGAAGGTCATTAAAGATAAAAGATCCGTTAAAGATGACGTCGTGGCAGGTTTCCGAGATTTCTGGAGATGACGTCATGGCGGGTTACAATATGTCACAACAGATGAAGAAGGATTTTTTCTAAATGTTGAAGATTGACATGAACAAGTTTAAATCAACCTGGGGCCTAATATTGGAGATATGACTATCAGATATGACCCGCCCAGGAGGGGCCGGGTCAACCACAATGGCGGTTCATCTAAAATGAAGCCCAAGAGTATACAAGATGGCGGTTCACAGTTAGGATTGTAAGAGGCCCAAGCCCAGAGGCGGCTTAAGGCTCGTAAGTATAAACCGACATGTATGTGTAGACTTGTAATGTAAGGCATGTAAGATACGTCACCGAGTTGGACACGTTGTATGAGCCGGCCGGGACTCTGTAGGCCGCAGGGCGTCAACCCGTGTATATAAAGGGACGACCTGACAACGGCTTAGGGCAAGAAACTTCAGATCGAGAGCCAGGCAAAGCGTGTTTGCTCCCTGGTAATCGAAACCTTAGCAATATCACCTCAAACTGGAGTAGGCCTTTACCTTCACCACAAGGGGCCGAACCAGTATAACTTTCCGTGTCCTTTGTCCCGTTTAACCCCTTTAAGCTAACCTCGTCGCAATGGCTCCACAACTAAGTCCTTCCATAAGGACATCTGCCGTGACACTTTCACGACAGATTTGACGCATTGTCAATAGCTTATTGCTTGCTCAAATTTGTGTGTAGGATGGGTGCAAGTTTTGATATCGGGAAGAAGATTACATTGATCTATTGATAACAAGAAAATTGATAGAAGCTTGAGCATTCGTTGCTAAAATGAAGGCTAGAGGTGAGACTAGATGTTAAGCAACATCGAATTCTTTGTAATCGAACAAGAAATAAGTGTGCAAACTCGAAAAGCCGCAGATCAACAATGAAGATATAGAGAAGATATTAATCCAACTAGTGGGAGCATTTATGAAAGTTGGTTACCTTTTGAAGTGTCTTATTTTGATTCTGTGTTCTCTTTGTTCTCGCTTCCCTAGTGAAGAATTGGTGAATTGTATATTCTAATGTATCAATATGTCGTTGAATGAAATAAAAAAATGTATTCCGATGGCCCAAAAAAAGTATACATAGAGGCTCCAGGCAGCCATGCTGGATTAGATGCGCCCAACGGTTAGCGCATCTAGGAAAACGGCCGGACGCCGCTATCCAAACGGAAAAAAATGAGCGTCCGTTGGAGTTGAACTAAGCAAATGGTTGCAAACTTACAATAATGATGATGATGATTCCCCAGCAAAAAAAAAAAACAAAAAAAACTATGATGATGATGCTCCCGCGCTCAATAGTCAATCTCAAAATTTTAACTATGGAGGTACAACATGGTCAAACTGTATTCGAATATGGTCAAACTGTGTACCACCTTGCTCAGTTTCTGGGTTGAATTCGGCTTCGAGTGCCGGAAGTACACACCGATGCATTGAACCAATATAGTGCATGCCATTTTTACTCGCAAGAGTTCAATTCCATTTTTTCCAGCACTGCTAACCCCGCTACTCGAGAAGACAACACTCACTCCCCTATGAAAAATTCTAAACGGAAATGCTTTTACACTGCATGAAAGCTCGAAAACTGGCTACATCAGAGCCTTGAAATTGCAGGCCAGGCATCAGATCACGAAAGGCATTACATTGTTGGTGGCGGTCCTCCCTCCAACTAACCCCAAAGATTCGAAATACATAGCATGTAAGCAGCAGCTTCCTATATATTTGATGAGTTCTCTTTCCGCAGCTTGGCTGGCCTCTCCTTGTGTGATTCTGCATGGCAAAGTAGCAGGTTTTGTCATGTTGCCAACACAATTCAGTCTATGTGTGCGATTGCGCTACTCCAAATCTTCCAATATACTGCTCCCTCCGTTCCTAAATATGGCGTTTTGGTAGTTCAAGAACTACCAAAACGTCATATATTTAGGAACGGAGGGAGTAATACAACTGAATACAACCATGAATTACTCTGGTGATGAAGTAGAGAGCAGGATTCATTGTTTCTTGGGAGGACTTTTTGAAAGCCATCGAGGCGAGTGAAACCCCCAAAGACCTAATAGAGAAAAAAATACCTGCATATCTCCTCTTCTTGTTGGCTCTTCTTCTTTTGCGCTCAGCTTGTGTAAGCTCCGCGTCTTCTTTAATATCCCCTTTCCCTTCAAAAACTTCTTCGGGAGCGAGCATTGCGGCATCTGAAACAGCTACAGGTGCAACCTGCAAGGAGGAAGACAAGTCGTTACATGAATGAAATACTCAAATAGAATAACTTCACGAGAGAAAAACAATGATTGTGGTACCTCTTCCATTGCTAGAGCAGGTACATTAACTTGTATAGACATATCCTCAATGACCTGAAAAGACAACACTTGTCCTTCTTACCAAAAATTGCAAACTTTAGGTATTATACGCTGCTGTCTAATAGAGAGCTATCACATACCGGCTTTGGGGCAAAGTGGAAATGAGAGAGCGCATCCAACTTCAAGCATATCCTCTTAAATAAATCATTTGCCTGAGTTGAATAAGAAGTTAGTCAGAATCAGGAAGTATCACTTTGGTAACACAAAAATATCCACATAGCCAGACTGATAGTTGATATCATAATAAAGACAAGGAGAACATATGCACATAGCACCGGTGGAAAGATTGCAGGAAACAGAAGCATAAAATCAAGTTGGCCAATGTAGTAAGGGCACTTAAAAAAAAAAGATAACTGTAAAGTATCAAGTGTGACCTACGCAATATGTATGCTTAACGTAACGCATATAGTGACTGAAGCAATCCATTTCTTCTCATTCATTACAAAATGGAGTATTTTTCTAACACCGGAAATTCCAATAGCGAACTTCATATCCATCGCATGGCAATAAACCATCACTGAGCATCGGTATTAAAATTGTACTCCCTACACTAGTGTCAAAAACGCTCTTATATTATCGGACAGAGGGAGTACTTCGTACTATGACAAGCATCTTGTGCACCACGAAAAAGTGATGATGAATATATTGACACTACAGTCACCAGGACAAGCAGGGAACATGAAAACTTGCTAATTTAGATGGATATAATAACATCTGGCATGCCTTTACTAACAAGACAATGCAAGATTTGCTCTTTAGCGGACATTATCTTTCAATCCAACACAAATGATGTATCAGATGTTGCACAACAATTAAGACCAACAAGAGCAGAATAAAACTGTAATCATGATAGGTAAATCCAATGTCACTCAGGTTTTCTAGTAAAAACAATTGATTGCTCACCTCATTCTTCAGTTCATCTGAAATAGCAAGTGTGGCAGGTGCAATGCCAGTTTTTTCCTTAAACTCATCCTGGAAGAGCAAAAGAATCAGTTAGTGGATGAACTATACTAAAACTGATCCTATCTACCAACTCGTTTGGATTTAAAATAAGATCATAGTAAGACAATACAGACCTCATAATGTTTGGCAAGACCCTTTTTGCTCTTGTTTTCATCCTGTTGAAATATAGCAACAATAGTGAATCACACAATTATCATACTGTTATCATGAAAGAATTCTAGTTATTGCAACCGATCAAAACCATACCATCTCCATTTGCTGCTTTGGAGCTTTATACGGCAAGGTTGAAGGCTTTTCAACATCATCAAAATGACCCTGTCAGGAAACAAGAGAAGCTATCTCAATATTACTAGCAGAGTCACAAAACGAAATAACCAAAGAACTCCTCACAATTTCACTCTACTATTTCCCGGTATACTACTGTTGAGTGTTGACCCAGTTACGAACGTAGTGACATATCCAGAAAAATATTACCTCCGCAATTCTTTTCTTGATCATCTCCTCGAGAGAAGCTGTGACTTCCTCCGTGATTACTGGGGCAGGTCTTACATTATGCTCAAAATCAAGATCCACTTCCAGGGCACTATTTTTGGGCCTCCTGGAAGCATCAACCTACAAAAGGAACTCGTTTAAAAAACACAATTGCAATGGTAATTAACTATTACTAGCACAATATTGTGAGTCAGAAATATGTCTCATTTCCAAAACATGCTATCAGCTACCTCTCCCTGCATGATCCATTTACTGGGTTCAAGACTAGCTTTCTCCATTATGTCTATTTGGTTACGCATCTTCAAGAGCCCCTTTTCATGAGTTGAAAGACCTTGTTCATCCTGCATAGAAGGGAAAGCATGTTGATAAACAAGTATATGTGCATTACTTATTTCAACTGAAATGAGTACCTCTAATGCTGGACCATCATTTACATCATCCTTCTCAATGTTATCCACTTCCATTTCATGCAATTCATCCTTGAAGTGGACTTTCTTTGTGAAACCATTTCTCTTCTTGACTTGTTGCTTACAGCTTTCCTCAAAAAAATCCTCATACCTGAAAAGACACTCTTAGCTGGTTAAAAGCACAACACAAAATTCATGGCAACCAAAATGCATGATATATAACATTATTCTACAGCCTAAGGAAGATTATAGAATAACCTCAAGTTTCAATTCTGCATTTTCTTTTATTTCTCAAGCTTCAGACTGTTTCAAGTGCACAGAATAATCAATATCGATGCGCATGAATTGTTTAAAACATTTGGAAGCATGAGAGGAAACTTGGTTCATTTCTGCGGCCTGTGCAACAAAAAAATAGAGCAGATAAAGCTGCTTTTTAGCCTCTCGTTCTTGTCGTTTTAGTTAGCCTACCCCCCACATTGTTTGGTACTAAAGGCTTTGTTGTTGTCGTCGTCGTTTTAGTGCAGATCACAAATCAAGTGGTGCCTTCACAAAACATTGAAGATACATAGTGCGCTCTGACATGTACATGTAAGATCCGTTTTGAATTTTTGAAGCTTCAAACACACACTTAAAAGGGAGCACATGTGCTCGGCATTAAAAGAACATGTCCGGATTGTAGAGGTTTTACTGGGCAAATGTAGGTGGGATAGGAAAGGACTGTAATGCATGCACTACAAAAGATGGGTGCTTACGACTGTCCAACAGGGACATTTGCACCAGCAAATAAGTTGTACGACTTGGTTATCTCTCCAGTAAAATCAACTTGCTATGTTATGTAGAAGTGAGTAGTGACACCTTTTTCTGTGAATTTTTTTTGTTGAACCCTCATGGAGGTGGTTGGCAATTGGATAATAGCCTTTTCCCTGTCTTGGTAAAGGTGGCACGAAAGTTGTTCTGTATGAAATCTAACTTTTTCATTGGTTAATTTCTATGTTAGGTGGTACGCAAAATCATGCTTTTCTGTTCTTTTCAGACTTGTTTCACTGCAACCCCACAAAGGTAAATTACTACTTCAAATCTCCAGTACAGGTGGCAGCAAGCTTCTGTACATTAAATCTATTTTTCATAGGCTAGTTTTTTTCCCTCTCATCAACAAATTATGTACAAACGGGGCTCTTTTTCATTATTTACTTTTCTACTATAATTGAGTCCATCTCCACACAAGTATTAATACTTAATTTCTCCCCTATGTCAATGAAAGGAAGGCTCCCTTCCCTTCTATTCACCTAAAGAAAGGAAAGTCTCATGTAGTGATATCTTGTATATTAACAGTGTGGAATTTCTAGAACGTGCATAAATATCATGCATAAGAAATTCCCAATTATCCACCCTTTGATTTTTTTCATAGATCAATTTATCTTCTATGTGTTACAAGTTGGGAAAGAGTTGTGAAGCATTGTTCAAGCAATTTTAAAATCCTACATGGCTACTATTGTCATATCTTCACATGATCGATGAACTGTGCTGTGGCACACTTTAACAGATATAAGGAGCACATAATACAAATTGATTCACATTTTCACAATCACCACAATCGCATACTTGAGATTAGCATAAAATGCTTACCTTATATCTCCGCCGGATTTCCCCGCACCCTCTTCATCATCAGACTCAAAATCTTCCAACTACAGTTAATAGTGCCACCAATCAAATTAAGAAGAAAGGAATTCAGGTTAATGTCCTTCATCAATAAAGTGTGGTATCTAACACTATAACTGTCAAAAGGAGCACATTGGTCTATGCAGTAGCTATAAACATATGTGTGCAATGCATTTCATGAACTAGCACTAGCTGTTAAGTCATTTATATTGCACATCCATAAGAAATTTTGGCTTCCCTTAATGAATTACTTATGGTTCTACATCTTAGATTCTATCAGAGCTAACAATCATTCCATGTATATAAAGAGAGTGTGTGAGTACAAATTACTTACATCCAAATCGTCATCATCTTCATCATCACCCCCGTCATCTTCATCCACATCCTCCTCATCACTATCGTCCTCCATCAAGTTTACACTAGCCTTCTTCTTCTCTCCTCCCTTGGAACCCCCACCGTACTCCAGCTCCTCCCCCTCCTCCATAAACTTTTCCAGGTCCTTCATCTTCAGAAACCTGTCCTCCACCCCGTTCCCTGCCTTCGCCCCTAGCTCCTCCGTTTCTTCATCCTCCCCCTCCCCCGATTCCAACTCGTCATCCGTGTCCTCCAGGCCACCCTCATCCTCCTCCTCCTCCGATTCGTCACCCTCTCCATCCTCCTCCTCGTCTGACGGGCCCTCCTCGGCTTCAGCGGTCTTGGACGGCGGAGGAGTAGCCGACGGCTGCGCAGGCGGTTGGTGCTCGAGGCGGCGGAGCTGGCGGTGGAGGTGGGGGAGGAGGGGGCGGGAGAGCAGCTCGCTCTGGGACCAAATCTGCTCGGCGTCGAAGTTGGGGCCGGCGAGGAGGTTGGGGAGCGGGGGCGGCTGCACGGGGGAGACGACGGCGAGCGAGGAGTGGAAGTGCTTCAGAGCCGCCCGGGCGGCGGCGGCGAGGTCGGCGGACGGGGAGAGGTAGACGGACGGGTCGGCGCGCCGCAGCTGCTGCAGCGCCACCTCGCCCTTCTCCGCGGCAAGCGGCTCGTCCAAATCCATGGCCATTGCCGTGGTGGCCGGGAGCGAATTGGTTGACTGGAGTATGTGGAGGCGACGCTGGGAAAGACAGGAGGAGCAGGTTTGGGTTTTAGGGTTTTAACTCGTTGAGCCGCAGGCGGCGATGTCCTTTATACGATTTGGTCCTCAAACTCCACTCCAAATGTAAAATTCACCCTCCAAGCTCATAACCCTCCAACGGCCGCGTGAAAAATCACAAAACTGGCCCTTTGGCCAAATTTCAGCACAAAATGGCCATCTTTTGAAAATCTCTACTCCTAATGTCTCAGTTGGTAGTTCGCGTTTCGGGTTTTATATTCGTCCCACCTCATCCGGTCTTTTTTGGTACTTCTTTGATACTTGCTCCCACCTCCCGCTGACCCGCCACGAACCGACAAAACCACGTACCGAGTCCTCCACCAGCCCCCGCGCTCTTCAGGTCGTAAGCACCGATCGCGCCCGAGACAAGAGACGAAAAAAAATCTACAAAAATTAACCAGCGATAAAAGAACCTACGAAAAATAACCAGCGAAGAAAAACCCCACACGTACGAGCGACGTCACATGCCCTCGAGCGAGAACGACTCGCATGCTAGACTCCCTTCCCTCGTTCGTCGCCGCCTTCATCCCTTCGCCGCCGCCGCCCTTCATCCCTTCGCCGCCGCCGCCCTTCATCCCTTCGCCGCCGCCCTCGGTCTCACATCAAAGGCGTCCCACTCGCACAACGAACCTGCCGCCCTTCTGGAGCCGAAAGCCGATCCATAGATCCCCATCTGGACGCGCACGTCCGCCTTCTTGGATCCATCGCTGCCATCGTGGATCCGCCGCCGCCGTCGCCGCGGAACCCCTCGGACGCCTCCGCCTTCGTGGATCCATTGCTGTCGTCGCGGATCCACCTCTTCCTCCTCCGTTGCTGCCCCTCCGCCCCACCTGCCGGCGTCGACCTCATCCAGCACGCCTACCTGGTCGGGGCCCCTGACTCGTCGTCCGCCATCGTCGCCGGGGCAGGGAGTGTCCGCGGCCGCGGCACGGGCCACGAGGCTTTCCTTCTGCAACCGATGAGATGGTAAGAAAAGTTGATGTGAGCGGTGGAAATTGATGTTTCCTTTGGTCTTGAGTTGTTTCCCGCTTGTGTTTTTGTGCTTTTACAGGTCCCTTTGGTGAGGACGTGGATGGAAGTCCTTTCTCCAGGGATCGACGTTTTCAGGGCAGAAGGAAGAGCTCTCCTCCTATCGACGGGCAAGATGGATGCACCCAGGTGGGAAAATCAGAATCTACCATTTTGCTTGTGTCTGCTACGTTGATAATGCTGGGATCAAAGTAACTTAGGATCAGTAGATCTGTGACAATTCCCTTGGGCATGATAGCAATGGAAACTGGTCGGGTTTTGAATGTACGTATGTCATGCTATTATTCTCTGTCACTACAAAAACTTAGCAAATGTACATACTACTGAAGGGATGTTGTGATTACGATTGATCTGAGCCAGTGCACACATTGATGTGTCATTCAGCATTAAGCATATGGATTCGTTAATTTTCTGAAGTATTCTCCCTGGATATATTTAATGGAGTCGTTTGTTGCTTCCTTCTCTCTGAATTCAACATTTGGTTCAGCAGTGCCCACAACCTTCCAGGTTAGCAGGATTTTTCGTGTATGTTATCACATAGGACCAGGGATTTCAGAAGGGCTGGTCAGTACACAGTAGTTCTTAACCTATATATGTATAGTGTACACTAGAATTATGTGTGGAGCTATACCTTGTATTGCACACAGTTGTTCTTGACATATATACAATCCGGCTATTGATACTTGCGTCCTATATGTTTACGTTACAACTAAAACTTAGAATTACTGGTTGCTAAATGGCATGCATGAAAAATTGAACTCGTGTTTTTTACTTTTTCCTTTTTTGAAGTATTTGATGGAGAACAATGATTTCATGGTGATTGGGATAATCGGTCCACCTGGTCTGGCAAGTCAACCACCGCGAACGAGCATTATGGATACGACACAAGCTCCCCCTTAACTGCATTCATATACTCATATGGTTCCATTGTACTTAAATTGTGGTTCCCTTTTTACTTATACTATGGTTCCTTCTACCTTTTGTCTTGCCAGTAACCAATAATTGATCAATATTTTCTGCCGCTCTGGCGTTTTCTTGGTATCAGTCTATGATATTTTGCTGGTCTTATCAGAACGGAATAATGATTTTGCCATGTGGGAGCCCATGCTTACAGTAAGTTGTCTGGCTATAATTTCTATGTACACACTTCTTTAGGGAATTATAATCATTTGTTTCTAGTAGTGTATCTCATTGTACACACTTCTTCGTGGATCCATTGCTGTCGTCGCGGATCCACCTCTTCCTCCTCCGTTGCTGCCCCTCCGCCCCACCTGCCGGCATCGACCTCATCCAGCACGCCTACCTGGTCGGGGCCCCTGACTCGTCGTCCGCCATCGTCGCCGGGGCAGGGAGTGTCCGCGGCCGCGGCACGGGCCGCGAGGCTTTCCTTCCGCAACCGATGAGATGGTAAGAAAAGTTGATGTGAGCGGTGGAAATTGATGTTTCCTTTGGTCTTGCGTTGTTTCCCGCTTGTGTTTTTGTGCTTTTACAGGTCCCTTTGGTGAGGACGTGGATGGAAGTCCTTCCTCCAGGGATCGACGTTTTCAGGGCAGAAGGAAGAGCTCTCCTCCTATCGACGGGCAAGATGGATGCACCCAGGTGGGAAAATCAGAATCTACCATTTTGCTTGTGTCTGCTACGTTGATAATGCTGGGATCAAAGTAACTTAGGATCAGTAGATCTGTGACAATTCCCTTGGGCATGATAGCAATGGAAACTGGTCGAGTTTTGAATGTACGTATGTCATGCTATTATTCTCTGTCACTATAAAAACTTAGCAAATGTACATACTACTGGAGGGATGTTGTGATTACGATTGATCTGAGCCAGTGCACACATTGATGTGTCATTCAGCATTAAGCATATGGATTCGTTAATTTTCTGAAGTATTCTCCCTGGATATATTTAATGGAGTCGTTTGTTGCTTCCTTCTCTCTGAATTCAACATTTGGTTCAGCAGTGCCCACAACCTTCCAGGTTAGCAGAATTTTTCGTGTATGTTATCACATAGGACCAGGGATTTCAGAAGGGCTGGTCAGTACACAGTAGTTCTTAACCTATATATGTATAGTGTACACTAGAATTATTTGTGGAGATATACCTTGTATTGCACACAGTTGTTCTCGACATATATACAATCCGGCTATTGATACTTGCGTCCTATACGTTTACGTTACAACTAAAACTTAGAATTACTGGTTGCTAAATGGCATGCATGAAAAATTGAACTCGTGTTTTTTACTTCTTCCTTTTTTGAAGTATTTGATGGAGAACAATGATTTCATGGTGATTGGGATAATCGGTCCACCTGGTCTGGCAAGTCAACCACCGCGAACGAGCATTATGGATACGACACAAGCTCCCCCTTAACTGCATTCATATACTCATATGGTTCCATTGTACTTAAATTGCGGTTCCCTTTTTACTTATACTATGGTTCCTTCTACCTTTTGTCTTGCCAGTAACCAATAATTGATCAATATTTTCTGCCGCTCTGGCGTTTTCTTGGTATCTGTCTATGATATTTTGCTGGTCTTATCAGAACGGAATAATGATTTTGCCATGTGGGAGCCCATGCTTACAGTAAGTTGTCTGGCTATAATTTCTATGTACACACTTCTTTAGGGAATTATAATCATTTGTTTCTGGTAGTGTATCTCATTGGACTTGATGCATTATGTTCTAACATTATGAGAATGGAATTGTTCCATTATATGGTACTAATGAAAACGTTTGGCATTAATCTGTGTTTATCTAACTAAAATATGGTGACTCCACCCTATGGCTAAAAGTGATATTTGCCAATATTGTGGAAAGCTAAAATGAGTGTTGTACTGTATTTTTACATGTTACTTTGCTGAAGTGACATAGCAGACCCATCATTTTAATCTTCATTATCTTCACCGAACAAGGGAAAATAAAATTGATAACCTCATCAGGCAGTGAAGATTGCATGGCCAGTCTCTGTTTTGTGCATGCTAGGTGAGCATCATGAACTGTTATACTTGCCTTACGAGTATTTTTCCTTCAATCAGATTCTCACTTATATTTCTGTGAATAAATAAATCTTTTCATTTTCTTGTTGGGAAAAAAGTCCCTGTAATCTTTCCCGCCACAGCCTAATGTGGGCTGCATGCCTTAGCATGTGCCTGATCCTTACAGAGTTTGAGGGCAGCTACTAGACTTCATGATTTGGCAAATATATATTTAAGGGTGAATAAGGACATTTAATCATTTCATATACCATGAACATCATAAAAAACAGATTGAGCATGTGGAGATATTTAAGTGTGCATATTTGATACATTTTCCTTTTGTTGATCATTTGCTTCATGCTTGTTCTGCGGATTGGAGTTTGTTCTCAAAGAAGGAGACACTGATCGCTAGCGAAACATATGACCAAGAGTCCCCAGGACCTACATCATCGACTAATAACCAGCCTCAAACACCTGCCCAGGTCAGCTATCTTTCTCAAACCAGTATTTTTTGGTTTGATCATTCGCCATGTCATGTGATTTTGATTTAATTGATAGGTTGTTTATTCCTTTGATCAGTATAAACAGGTTATAAGTTTTGAGTCTAAGGTATACCCCTAATGCCACTTTACATGCTGTTGAAAACTACAGGCTGCTCCAGCAGTAGTGAGGATGCCTTGCAGTATGATACTTGATACCATGCTAACAGAATTATGATTACCAAAGGCTGAATAACGCCGGGAAATATATGGCGGTAGCAAGGTCTGAGTCAGTCTTTTTAGCACTCCTATGCTACTTCATGATAGTGAATCTACCCATGCATCCATATCTGGAGTCCTCTTCATATGATGATGCAGAAGAGCACATTGCTGCTATTGAAGCCAAAGGTGTTTGGAAAACACAGCT